AGTTATTTTTTTTCCTAAGCAACTAGGTGGACAATGATGACATTTAATGAGATGTGAAAAGCTTGAGGTAGAACAGATTTATTTGAGGAAACACTCAAGGGTCTGTTTTTAACATGTTTACTTTGAGATGCCCACTAGATGCCCAAATTGAGATGTTGAGTAGTCAGTTGGATATATGAGTCTGGAATCCAAGGGAGAGCTCTGTGCTAAAGACAAATAAGCTTGGGAGCCATAAGCATCTTGATAGCATTCAAATAAGACTCAATGGGTCCATCAAGAGAGTAAAAGTAGATGTAAACCATGTCCACTTTAAGCTGGGTCCCCAGAGGTCTACATCCTCAAGGTAACAGTAAGCCAGTTAATTCACTTCATTGACTTGCAGCCCAGTTTTCTGTCATCTGTGTTGTCCATGAAATCTCTGGGTTTACCTTGAAGGTCCAAAATGGCTTCATTCACACATCTGATGCCTTGGCGGAAAATAATGGAAATCTAGACTTGCTGGGACTCTTGACCAGAAGGCCTACATGTAACCTTTCTAGCATGAGAGTACCTGGATAATCAGATTTCATACATAGTAGTTGGCTTCTTCCAGAGAGAGCATACCAGGAGAACTGAGCACTGAGTGACTACATATGATACCATGAGGAGCAATTCTGAGTTAACACAATTGAAAAGTACAGAAAAATGGTTGCTGTTTTAAGCCACTAAAGTTTTGATGTAATTTGTGATACAGCAACAGATAGAGGAGACGTAAAGGATAGTGTGAAGGGTTTACCTATTTTTTAAAATTTTTAATGTTTATTCATTTTTTGAGAGAGAGACAGCATGAGCATGGAAGGACAGACAGAGGGAGAGACACAGAATCCAAAGCAGGCTCCAGGCTCTGAGCTGTCAGCACAGAGCCTATGCGGGGTTTGAACTGACAAACCACGAGATCATGACCTGAGCCCAAGTTGGATGCTTAACTGACTGAACCATCCAGGCCCCAAGATTTACCTATTTTTAATTGAAATTGCAGAAGAAAAGGAAAGAGTGATTAGAGGAGAAGCAATAATTGAAGAGGTAATGGCTTAACATTTTCCAAAATTGAAAAAATTCATGAATGCACAGATTCAGGGAGTTCAACAAACCCCAAACAGAGTGAATAAAAACATCAACACCTAGGACTGTTTCATCAGAGTGAAACTTCAGAAAATGCAAAAGTCTTAAAAGCAGCCAAAGAGGGGCACCTGGGTGGCTCAGTCGGTTGAGCATCCAACTCTGGATTTCGACTCAGGTCATCATCTTTCAGTTTGTGGGTTCGAGCCCTATGTTGGGTTCTGTGCTCATAGTGCAGACCCTGCTTGGGACTCTCTGTCTCCCTCTCTCTCTGCCCCCCCCCACTTATGTGCATGCACACACACACACTCTCTCTCTCAAAATAAATAAATAAACATCCTTTTAAAAGCAGCCAAAGGAAAAAGACAGCATACATTCAAATGAGATACAGAAAGGTGACTTTTAAGTAGTGCTAATTAAACATAGAAGACAGGGAAATGATGTCTAGAA